GCCGCAGCAAGTCTCGGCATCTTGCCGTCACAGTTGCGGTGCTCCGACTCCGACATCACCTGCACAACAAAGGAAACATCCGCAAGCGAAGCATGGGCAAACATCTTCCGAACAAAGGAACCCGCAAAGAACTTGGGCGATGGTCCCATCGAGAAAGGAGCCCGGATCCGGCAAGTGATACACGTACATTTTAAGGCAGTTGACACTACCAGCCAATATCAGTAAGAATTCACTCTATCATACATGGCTCAGTAAACGGCAGATCTTGCAACCAACCATAATATCACCCAAACAGTCAAACTTACAAAAGTGCTGTGTTCACATTATCTTCCGACTTTTTTGTGAACCCAAAAGGGCATCGCAAGCAAGCGCCAATTGGTTGTTTGCCGACATGCGACCATGCGCCAAACACTGTTTGTTCACCTTGAGTGCGGCGTTTGCAACCCCTGGGATGCAAAGACTTAACAAACCACGACACTATCGTCCGAGAGCAATGTACCCACCCCGAAAAAGCCTGTGCACGTTGCTCTCCTTTTTTTTCCCTAGCGGGCGGTGCCTCATCCGATAATCGGACAGCTAAAGTGGCACTCCCCCCGCAGAACCTAATGACTGTAAGGCGAACGACTCGAACACCCCCCTCCTTCTGCATAATGTGTCTTCTACCAGATAAGGCCCGTCATGATGGAAAAGGTTAAACTTTAAGAAAAGGAATGTGACGATGCTCTGCATTCGATTGACATGTACATGAAAACATCAACAATGGAACAGTGGCGGCATTACGATTGCGGGGCCGTCAAAGGGGTCAGCCAGGTGACCGACCGGCACCTCTTTTTCCGCATGATGGTGATACATTTCGTGGTGTATTTTGGTGGGCGCGTGGGATACGGGTGTTAGAAGATAATATTCTGTATCTCTGGTATGCTTGAGTCATTATGAGTTCGGCCCAATGTATTTGAAGGTGGCCGGGGAGCTTTTTATGGAAGCGTCTACATGCGTGGGCTGTCTGAAAAGTGGCTACGTGTTCTATGGAACCGGCATGTCGAACGATATGTCCTAAGTACGAAATTCCAGAAGACATGATTTGCTACAATGGTGATACCAATTTTGGCGCGTATTTGTAGGCCCATTGGCAATGACATTCATTGGAGCAATCTGCCTCGAAGGATTCAAAAACTTTGGTAATAGAAAAACATTTCAATATTGAAGATTTGTCTTGGAACCTCTTAGTATAGCATGTTGAGCTTGGTCAGATGTGATTGAAGATACATCTGTCGATTCCGAGCCATACAGCAGCATGGCTTGAACAATCTGGGAGTGTTGGTTTCTTGGCTCGTTTGGCCAAGAAGTGGAAAGCCGCCATCTGTGCTGCGAGGGCTCTTTTGTTCTATGTTTGGAAGTGCTATTCTCATGGTACGGCACTTTGTGTGTACCAACAACTTGCGTTCCATCGTGATGGATGGATGCTTGACAACGGTTTCTTTGTGTCTTCCTTGGCCGAAAAATTATATGTAAATGTAAGGACGGCACCTAAACCGTCCAGCGGGCGATTTGGGATCGTGTTTGCTGTTGAGCCTTCTGGCAGTAGGGTCCCTTTAGGTCAATTCTTTGGCTTGGCAATCATCGCATTGACAAGGGTGCTGTGGGGAGTCGCTCCATTTTAATGGCCAATAACTGGCACTCGTGGGACCCACGAATTTCTGAAGGACCCCGGTTGCGGGCAGCGCATTCCGGAGCGCTGCATGCGACACCGAGTCTCGGAGTACGAATGACGCTGTGGATGTTGATATCCCTGATCTAAATCCGACTTGCACAAGGGAGATACGGTCGTCGATAGCCTCTTTTGATCCTGAACGGAGAAAGCATTAGTTTTATATACAGTATTGATCAATGAGATGGGGCGGTAACTAGTAACTAGTAGCTAAGGTTGGGTCTTTCTTTTGTACCCCTGAAAATCATGACAATATCCGCCACTTTCCATGAGCTGGGTGAGATAGCTTGTGCGAGGGATGTGTTGAAGTGTGCCAGCAAGGCTTTATGAACCTCACGCGGCGCATATTTTCAAGTTTCGAAAAATGGGCTACATGGGGATTCGGGGCCAGTCTCTCTGGCTCCAGGCTTTTTTGCAAAGTGGGTAGCCAATACTTCAGGCTTGGCAGCCTCAGTCGACATCTGGCCCTGGCCGTTGGATTTGCGTATGCCCTGGGTGCAAGCGGCGTTGTCTTTGCAAAGGTTTTTAAGGTGGACCAGTTTTAGGTAGGCTTGCACTGCTCTAGCACTTCACTCTCTATTTTCACCGTGTTGAATCTGTAGGCTTCGCGGCTAGCCGAAGGCTGACAGATGCTGCAGGGCAGAATCTGTCCAAAGGAAAACACCCCTCGACTAGGCTTGGTGAAACGACGAGTGAAAAGGCATGCAATCGTCTGGATTAAAGGCTCGGCTAAGGCGGCCGAAAGGCGTGAATCTTGATGGCAAGTTAGCGGAGGCGATGCAGGTGATCCACAAGGCGTGGAACGACATACTGTGTGGGGCCGTGGCGGCCGAGATGTATGGCGGTCGAGGCGACCCCGAGGCGTGAAACAGAGAAAGTCTGCTGTGAGAATTCAGCTTGGCGTGTCAGGAGACGGCGACGGCGAAGTAGCAGTACCTGTGCCGAAGGGGTGGGGCTAAGCAGCGAGCGGCGTGTCGACGATGCAGAGAAGCCTGACCAGGGAGCAGCAGCGAGGGGATGGGCTCGGGAGGGCAAAGTGACTGTGGCTGATCGTAGGACCTGGGCCAGAGTCCTGCTGGCTCGGCTGAGCCGCCGGGCAAGTTGCTCAGTGTCCCTTACAGTGATGCTCCAAATGCACCTCTGTAGGCAGAAGGCTTGCGTACCTGGCAGGGCAACAGCGAAAACATTCCTGAAACAAAACAGGTAGCGTTTAGGTAGGCTTGCACTGCTCTAGCACTTCAGTCTCTATTTTCACCGTGGATCTGTAGGCTTCGCGGCTAGCCGAAGGCTGACAGATGCTGCAGGGCAGAATCTGTCCAAAGGAAAACACCCCCACTTTAGGGACAGATCCAACCGGTAAAGAAGGCGCATCGTAGAAGTCCCCCACCACGGGCAGTGGAGATGGACCTAGGCAAGAAGGCAATCAGTGGCCATGCATGACATGGTGTAGAAAGCAGGCAGGCAGTCCGCTTCGTTTCTTTGCTGCGGGCAGTCGAGGGCAAGTACGGGAGGCGTTTCACTCCCCTTGACGCGGCAAAAGCGGGCTGTGCATCGACTGGTCGGCGCAGGACCAGCAAGCCTCGGATGCAGCCGATGCGAGGCGAGCCAGTGAGACGCGCACCCGTTCTTGCTGACGGTGGGAAGGCGGCCGCGACTGAGGTCGTCCGCCACTGGTTGTGGGCCCCTGCCACGTGGGACACTTGCAGCTCGACGCCGTGGCACGATGACCAAGAGGCTATCAGTTGAAGGAACTGGGAGAGTGGCCAGCTGGTCGTGAAGAGCTTGTTGATGAAGGCGTGTTGTCGATTTGAGACGGAAGGCAGACGGCAAATTGTAAGAAGGCGCGGCGTTCTCTAGCCGTCATGGCAAGGGCAAGTTGAGAAAGGGTCTCGAAACAGGCAATGTATTTCTGGGCGTCTTTGGTGAGAAAGGGCCAGGTTCGGCGCACCTCATCCATGTGCCAGGACTCCGCGAACCACGCCATGCTCTGCTTGGTCGTGACCCATCCCCCGACGCCGACCGTGTCTCCCTCGGCCATTGCGTCGGCACGGGCGAGAGCAAGGCATCAACGGCGGGAGTGAAAGGCTGGTCGTGGGGATGGATTCAATCCGAGGCAGCAGCCATCGAAGGCTCTTGAGCTGAGTTGGTGAGTCGGATTTCCGGACATGTGGGATCCGAGAGGCGAATCCAAGTGGGCCCGGATGATTTAGGCTGTGGAGGCAGGTCGGCTTTGCAGCGCACGGGCTTGTTGCCTATCACGATAACGCGTCCCTTCAACGGGAGGATGACTCCTGGCACCAGTCGGCATATGACGGCTCGAGAGTCCAGACTGCGCAAGAAGGCTGGCCACATGCGAGGCGCAATGGAGCAGTTGGAACCAGGAGGGCTGTAGAGTGGGGCGACGTGGGGGCGCAGCACATTGCTGATGTGCGTGGCCCACATAAGAAGGCCAATGCAGGCTTCAAGGTCTTTCCTTGGCACTTTCTTCTTGGCAAGAAGGCTGCGGATTTGGTCGCACAGCATAGCGCGCTTGTGGCTGCACAGAGTTCGACTGTCGCACCAAACAAGGCTGTCCCCTACTGTGGCTTTCTTCCAGCTTATGGGGGCTGCAGGGCTGGCAAGGGCGCGTGTGCTCTGAGCAGGGCTGCTAGCAGGTCATCCACATACAACCACGCTTTGTGTGGCGCGAAGGCTAGGGCATGGTGGGTTATCCTGGTGATAAGGCCTCCCACCCGTTGCCACCAATAGGCAGAAAACTTGGCTCCGAAATGGCAGACGACATATCGGTACAAGACCTGTTCGAACATGAACAGAAGAAGGCCTTGTTCGGAGCTGTGCACTTTGACGCGTTTGTGGTCTGCCTTGAAGTCAATGCTGGTAGGAAGGCGCGGGGGTCAGAGGGCAGAAAAGTGGCACGAACGTCATTGACAGTTGGCATGGCTACCGCCTCCGGTATGCGGCAGAGCGGGTTGACCTGGCTTACCGTGCTGTCAAGGACAAGGCGGGGATCTCTGTTGTCGGCTTTGACTTGACTGAGCTTGCCGACGGCAATGCCTTTGCTTCGGGAAGTCCCCTTCTTCTTCGGCCAGAAGGCGTCGAACCGTGTCCGGGTCCGCGTCGGTTGGCTGAGAGGCATGATCTTGGCTAGGGGCCATAGCCCGGAGGGCTCGATTTCATCGAAGACAGACCGACCGAAGGTATGCAGGTAAGGCACTGTCCGGGTCCTGCCGGAGGTGGGCGAAGGCTGGAAGAAGGTCGAATCGGCTGGCCATCCGCTATCTGGGTCATGTGGTCATAGTCCCATTCCATGACTTCGGCAGGCGATTTGAACGAGGTCGGCTTGGTCTTGGTCTGATAGGGGATGCTCCGGCTGACTTTGGGCAAGATGGGCGAATAGCTTTTTCGGCATATCTCTGTCCGCCCAGACCAACCATGCTTTCATGATTGACTGCATGTCCTTGGGGGATGGCTTGGGACTGCTCCAGTCGGTTATCTGCGAGGGTGCAATCATGACGAAGGACATCAGCAAGGGCCAGGGGTTGCAGCGGTTGTGTTGACAAAGGCAAAGCGGCGAATAGGCCCGCCGCCTCGAGGGTGGTGAGGCTTGCTTCTATACAAGGCCAGGTAGGCAGGGGGGCTGCGCTCATCATGATCCTGCTGGACCCCGGTTCAGGGCACAGGAAGAGGCCTCCATCGTGCACTGCCTCGCAGAAGGCGGCCGTTTGCAGAAAAAAGTGGTCAGTCAAGAAGGAGCAAGGCGGAGGCACCGCATGAGCGAATGGGTTGCAGGAAGCCGCAAGCTTCCTCAACGTGAGGAGCAAGGTCCCCGAGGTCGGCCAGGAGTCCCATGACGGATCGGGACCAGATGGCTTGCAGGAGACGGGCTGCCCGTCTTCTCGACCTTCCTGGGAGAAAAGTCGATAGTGCAGATGTTGGCATCACGAGCATGTGCCAGGCAGGCAGCGCGCAGCGGGGTTGCGGGGCAAACCACAAGGGTCTTAGAGGAAGGGACTACTTCTAAGGGCGGTGGGTTAATAAGTAGATACATAAGTTAGTAATCGATTGTACAGTTTAGTGGGGATGGCTAGTCTAACATAGCAATTGACCTAAGTGCAGTTAGCAAGGTACAATTACAGAAGTTAGCCAAACACAGTTAACGAAGTTAGCATTTTACTAACAGCACCTTAAAACCATGATGATGCCCATGAGGATGATGAAAAATCCAATGTCGCAATGCAGGGCGATTCGCTCGCAGGCAGGATCAGAACATGAAAATTGTGACAATTCATGTGTCGCCATGCAGGGCGATTCGCTCGCAGGCATATAGGCACAACAATCTTTTTTATGGCACGACCAGCATGCTGTCTGCACTCATGCGTTTGAAGAGGCAGGTTCGACTGATCTCGGCCACTCGCATGAACTGGGCTCCGTCCTGCTTGACCCGGAAGAGATTCTTCCCTTGTGGCTCAAGCACACTCAACAGAGCCAGGAGCTCGCCATGCTGCAACCGGCAAAACAACCACACCTCTGCAACGGACCCCGTCTTAAGCAGCACCAGGTCACCCCTCTCGCAAGTCTGTCCTGGGCAGACCTCGGCCTGCATGGCCGACTGCACATGCTCAAGAGTCTGAAACCCGAATGTCTGCCCCAGGTGCCACAGCAAAGTGCCATCAGTGACAGACTTGGGGGACTTCAAATGGGGCCGCATGAAGCCAGCATGCTCAGACAGATCCAGAAGAGCCCTGCCCAAAACATCTTTAAAGAGTGAAGCTTCGAACCAGTCGGTCACTTTCTTCGTGTTGTCAGCAAACTGCTTCACTTGCCGATGCTTTCGTTCGTGTGTAAAACAGGAAATCAGAGGCCTGTCTCGAGCCATCAGGGGAAGATGGAGGCTATAGTGGAACTTCGGTATACAGTGCTGCTCTCCATATGCCTTAAGGAAAGCTTGGCTATGGGCCCGAATCGCATTCTCGAGCTCGTCCGGCGACAGGTTCCCAGTCCGATTGCATTCAAGCAGGAGGTCGAGAACCATACAAATCTTCATAAAGGATCTGATGCATCGCCGAAGTTCGTCGTCCATTGTGTCAAAGTGATGAGTCAGCAAGAAAAGCCGCAGCAAGGGATAGACAGTGATGCACTGCGAAGCACCGGCCTTGAACTCAGAAGGTTTGCTCCTTTTGTCGAACAAATGCAAGATTTCTCTTCTCCGGTTCTTCAGGTTGTGAGGCCATTCGTACTCTGAGATAAAGCTCTGGATCACCTGAAATGTTGCACCCTGCACATGCAAGAGTGGCAAGAGTAAGCTCAATTCCACGTGCAGGAGGCCGCTTACCACATAACAATGCATCCAATCCCACATCAAGCATTTCACAAGCGGCATGCTTTTGTGAGCAAGCACTCCACATGGGTTGAAGTTCAAGCCCATGCTGGACTCGAGCAAGGAAAAATCCTTCTTGCTCAGGATGGGTTGCCTTCTCGCCAGCAGTGCCTGTGCAGTGAAGATCTGATTGTCGGTTCTGCGGACAAACAGATTGCTGTCGATGCATGATATGTCATGCAATTCTCCCGAGTGGTCATTTGCTGGCAGATCACCGTGGGTCTTGCTTGTTATGTTGGCACATAGCGGGCAAACCAAAGTCCCACTGGAGCCCTTGAAGTCGTACATAGATTTCAAAGCTGCCTCGTCTGCAACTACAGTATGCAGTTTCGCGAAGAACATGACCCGTTCCCCAGTTGGCATGTTCAGCAAACAGCCCGACTGGAGGTTCAGGAACGATTCCGAGGAGACCAGAATGTGGGTGAGTGCAGACAGCCCGCCCTGGATCTTGTTGACCACCGAAGACCGAGTCAAGTTCAAAGGGAACCAAAGGTTTTCTTGGCATCGGCCTTCGGCGTCAAACTCGAGAAAACTGAGGTAGTACCCTTGGATCTTCCTGGTGTTGCTGGCTTTTAGTTGGTTGCCAGGACTAATCTCATCATTGTATAAAGCCATGCGCCATGGGCTGGTTGCTGTGCACGGGTACTTCGATAGCTGCCTTTGGAAAAAGGCAGCTACACCAGGCATGGACTGGCAAACATGCCATATCCATGCCATCAGGTTGAGGATCGGCAGCTCTGTCGGCACGATCTTCACCTCCTCGTCTCCAGCTGCCTTTCGGCTCTTCACCTCCACAGGTACTGTAATCTTGGCCACCAAAGGGCCATGAGGAGTCTCTGCCTCCAGCTCGGAATCCCGTGCCCTTTTGATGCCTCGCCGGGAGGCTGAGTCAAGGACTTCAGGGCATGCAGCCACTTCCTTCAGTACTGCCTCCAGAGCACTCTGGCTCACATAGTGCTTTCTGCCGATGGTAGCGAGCGACATAGATTATAAAGATGGCTGCCCGCGAGCAAAATGCCCTGCAGGCACCGGATATTAGAAGTAACAATTCTTACAATAAATATGTTTGTACATACAACATGTGTCAACCTGTCTATAAATCCTTGTCCCCACGAAACCTTCTTCAACACAACAAAAACCTCTGGATGCACGTATGATACAATGTATGCACACGATCTAATACAACTAATTTCTTATAATGGCTGGACTATATCTACCAATATATAATATCACGTATATATATATATATATAATATATGTATATATATATATATATATATATATGTGTGTGTAAGTATGTAATATACATACATATATATATATATATATATATACATATATATATATATATATATATATATATACAGGAGATATTTATACTTGCAATGCAGCATCAGACCAATCTGCAAGCCGATCCGATCACTCAGGTTTACATGCTGCCTGGCAAGACACACACACATGCAGCAGAAGAGGCAACATGATGTGCATAAGTGCACGCCTGCATGATGATCTTTTCCTCCCTCTGTGCTGCAGTCGACGAGTTCCCCACTCATCGAGCCGGTCATTTGAATCGGGCAAGCAGCTACTTACAGAAGCAGCTGGGCCTGCAGCCTGGTGCGAATCTGCATTTGCTGCAACCATTCGGGCGAAGGCTCACCCTTTTCTTCATGGAAAGATTGGCATAGTATTCTCTGCTACCGGCCGGGGCGGCTTTGGCCTTTGCACTGGCCTTTGCACTGGCCTTTGCACTGGCCTTTGCAACGGCATTTGCACTGGCCTTGGCACTGGCCTTGGCACTGGCCTTACTGGCTGCCTTTGCTTTGGCATGGGCTTTGGCCTTTGCCTTTGCCTTGGGCAAGCCTGCAGGCTTCTTAAGAATCCCCTTCTTCTTGTTGACTGCATCTGCAACGAGCCCAGCCTGCCTCAACACTTCTGCCTCGTCGGCCTCGTCGTTTTCAGGATCACTCATCTCCAACTGCACTGCCGGCGAGACACCAGCTGATGCATGGCGGGGGGGTTTTTTTTTCGAAGGTGCGGCCAACCCTCTTTTTTCGGAGGTGCGGCCAAGGATTTGTTCAGGTTGGACACCCAGGATCCTTGTAGAGGGTTCATCGGCGATGTAAAGATTTTGCGCCCCACCACAGCGCCAGCGCTTCGACACGCAGAATCCCTGTAGAGGGTTCATCGGGGTCGTAGAGAATTTGCGCCGCACCACAGCGCCAACGCTTGGAGGCGCAGGATCCCTGTGGAGGGTTCATCGGGGACGTAGAAAATTTGCACCACACCACAGAGCCAACGCTTCGAGGGGCAGGATCCCTGTGGAGGGTTCATCGGGGACGTAGAAAATTTGCACCGCACCACAGAGCCAACGCTTCGAGGGGCAGGATCCCTGTGGAGGGTTCATCGGGGACGTAGACAATTGGCGCCGCACCACAGCGCCAGCGCTTCGAAGCGCAGGATCCCTGGGTGAAGCATCAAAAAAAACTAATCATCAACAACAAATGAAATCCAGGGATCAACAAAAAACTGATTTAAAAAAAAGAGCATCACAAACAAATTAAATTATAGGAAATGAAGCCATTTCCAAAACTATTTGCCTTGGTGGCGGTGGTGGTGTCGTTGATGTCGTTGCTGTCGTCGTTGGTGGTGGTGGTGTCGTTGATGTCGTCGTGTTGTTGCTGCTCTTCGCGTTAAACCCCCTGGAGCGTGGCTGTCTGGCTTTCCCCTTCTTGTGTGTTGCCGAATACGTGTATGTTCATTTCTTCGCGGGCTTACAGAGCGGGGAGTTAATTTAGTCTGAAAAAAGCGGGGGGGTTGGGGGGGGGCGCAGCCCCCCCCATTTGCAATCCTTTTAAATCCTTCAGGATTGATTTTGTCTTCTTTGCGTTAAACCCCCCTGAAGCATTATTGTCTGGCTTCCCCTGCTTGTGTGTTGGCGGATACGTTTTTGTGCATTTTCCGTGGCTTTAGAGAGCGGGGAGTTTAGTCTAAAAAAGCGGGGGGGTTGGGGGGGGCGCAGCCCCCCCCATTTGCAAACCTTTTAAATCCTTCAGGATTGATTTGGTCTTCTTCGCGTTAAAACCCCCTGAAGCATTGTTGTCTGGCTTCATTTTTTTTGTGTTGACGAACACGGTTTTATTTATTTCGTAGCAAACGACCGGCTGGCAAACACGTTATTGTTGATTACTTCGTGGCTCAAGAGAGCTTCCAAGTCATTCATGATTGCTTGTGTTGCTTCGCGTGTAACCCCGCTGAAACAACAACCCAAGAAAATCCGTGTTGTGAATCTGGGTTCTGAACCTGAATTTCCAACCGTCTGTCTTACTTCTTTTCTTTCTTTCTGTTCTCGGTCCTTGCTTTGGTCCTTGTTCTGGGGTGTTTCGTTCTGTCTTCCTGGGTTCTTTTCGTTTCAGGTGGAAAAACCAAGAAAAGCACACCAAATCCGTCCAAAACGTGAGGAAAATAGTGTTTTCCCCAGGAAAACCCATGGAAAAACACCAAACAAAAAAAAACAACAACAAGATCCAAAATAATGGGCCCTCCATATGTATGTATATATATATATATATACACACACACTCTCACTCTCTCTCTCTCTCTCTCTCTCTCTCTCTCTCTCTCTCTCTCTCTCTCTCTCTCTCTCTCTCTCTCTCTCTCTCTCTCTCTCTCTCTCTCTCTCTCTCTCTGTATGAATATATATATATATATATATATATATACATATACACTATATATATATACACTATACTTACTATATATGCTATATATACTATATATACTATATAGACTATATATACTATATATATATACATATATATATATATATATATGTATGCTGTATATACTGTATGTACTATATTTACTATATAATATATATATATATATATATATACCATATATACAATATGTATAATATATATATATACTATATCTACTATATTTACTATACCTACTATATCTCTTATATCTACTATATCTCTTATAACTACTATATCTACCATATCTACTATATCTACTATATATGCTATATCTACTGTATGTAGTATATAAAATAATATATACTAAAGATACTATATAAACTGTATATACTAATACTATATCTACTTAATCTACTACATATACTATACATATATACTCTATATATATATATACATAGTGTATATATTATGTACACTATATATATATATATACGATATATACTTTATACATTATATATACTATATATACTGTAAATAAAAATATACAATATAAACTCTATATACTATATATATATATACTACATATGCGTGGGGGATTGATCTCGACTTGGTTGCTGCTCTCCCCACCAGAGCTGTAATGAATGTAGGTGTGGCTGGCTAGCACTCTCCACAGACTGGACCTTGTCTCTCCCTCTTACTTCCACACGTGCGATCCTATGCAGGCAGAACCGGCGGCCGTTCCTTTTGCACTCACTGCCGGCGGCGATTCGTCTGTGCAACGGGATAGCTCTGATTGCTCAGGATAGAAGACACATATAGCACTTAGCTATGGGCATTGACTTGAGCCAAAACGTTGCGTTGGCGGTCACATAGAAAGGTAAAGATGAGGGATGCGTAGCATGCCCCCTAGAGTCGAGGGACGCGTAGCGTGCCCCCTTCTCTTGCACTTTACACGGTCTTGCTCACAGCTCTTATAGTGACACCTTAGAACTTGACAAGGCATCGCAGTCCGTTCGCACCCCCCATGAGTTGCGTCTCCGACGCTGCTCACCCGGAAGATGGCACGATAGGACAACAGAAAATGTTCCGCCGCAACGTTGACATTGAAAATCAGAGCTTTGCATCCCAATTAGAAACGTTGTGACACTCATCTACGTCAGTAACGATCCCCTGAAATGGCAAACGAATCAGGCGTCACCGAAGAAAGAAGCATTCGCGATGGCATTCCATGGGCGAAGCTCAGAGGTCACGAACTGATAGGCGAGGAAGACCAAGCGTTGATTCACCTCCATCTTCGCGTGGTCGCAGGATCGCGGTCCCAGGGCCGGAGGTTTTCCTCTGGATACTGTTCCCGATGCTTTCCCTTGTCCTTGCCTTTGTTTCGGCCCTTGCCGGCGGTGTAGTCGTAGTAGGAGTTGGAGTTCCAGCCTCCATGTTGCTCACCTCCGGTTCTCCCACGCCCTTTTGAAGGTCCCTTGGATGAAGAAGCGCTTTCACGTTCCTCTGCAGTGACAGGCGTGTCCAGGATGGATGTACCACCTGGAGGAAGATAGTCAGCGGCCGAAATGTGGTGTAGGGCTTCAGTACGCTTGGTCGTCGGGTTTTTCTGTCTCTCAGCCTTGGATCTGTTCAATCTGTAATCTCTCCATGAAATGCGCAGGCATTTGCACACTGTGGTCCACCAGCAAGCCGATGGTCTGGACTGACTGATCAGAATGAGTCAGCAGAATACCGACGGGATCGATGTACAAGAAGTCCACTGGTCCAGTTGGCGTTGGTCGTAGCACTGAGAATTGTTGGTGTCCCGTCACCATTGGAATCACCTCGCACAGGACGTTCAGGCAACAAAAGTGCATAGCCTTCACATCTTCATCCCTTTCGCTCTTCAAGTAAGTAGTAGGGTTGAAGTTGTCCCTGCCAATTCCCATCATGTTGGCTCCCCGTGTAAGCAACGAAAGCATCTGGTTCGTCCGGAAGCGCTTCAAGGTGTAAGTCCCGTTGGGATCATACTGCTTGAGGTTCTCAGGCTCCTTGGCAAAGCGAATGATCTCCTCATCAGTCACATCCTTGCTCACACCCGTTTCCCTATCCACTGCCGCCAAAGATCCCCACTTTCCAAGCACATCATAGCGTTGGCCAAGCGCGAAACTTTCCCTCATCTGAAACAACGGCATAGTCGCCCACTTTGCGAATCCTGACCAAGCCTTGTAGATGGATCTGCATACCACGTACGCCATGTACGAAAGAGCGGTCATGTTCGCGTCAATGCAATGGGCATTCCGCTTT